TTTAAAAACCTCCAATGGAGCAGAGTTCACAACCTCCTGAGCGGTCTGTTCCACTGTTGAACTGCTCTTATTGTCAAAAAGTTCTTCCTGGTGTTAGTCAGAATCTCCTTTCATGTGACTTGAAACCATTGGTTTGCGTCCTGCCCTCTGGAGCAGGAGAAAACAACCTTGCCCCATCTTCCATATGACAGCCCTTGAGATAATTGAAGATGGGTAGCATATGTCCTCCCAGTCTCCTCAAACCCAGGCTAAACCTACCCAGCTCCTTCAATTGTTCCTCATAAGGCTTGGTTTCCAAACCCTTGGCTATCTTGATTGCCCTCGAGGGCACAAGGAGAAGGGGACAACAGAGGACGAGATGGTTGGACAGTGTTCTCAAAGCTACCAGCATGAGTTTGACCAAGCTGCGGGAGGCAGTGGAAGACAGGAGGGCCTGGTGTGCTCTGGTCCATGGGATCACAAAGAGGCGGACACGACTAAACGACTAAACAACAACAACAACAACAACGCATGTTCCAGCTTGTCAATATCCTGCTTAAACTGTGGCACCCAGAACTGGCCACAGTATGTGGTCTGACCAAGGCAGAATACAATGTTGCTATTACTTCCCTCGATCCGAACACTATACAGTCATATCCCCGGTTGCGAACGTGATCCGTGTGGGAGGCACTTTCACAACCCGCAGAGTTCGTAGCCTGAAGCTACCAACTAAAGTCTGCACACACACATGATGCGATTCGGTGCTTCTGCGCATGATGTCATTTTGTGCTTTTGCACATGTGCGAGCGCCGAAACCCAGAAGTAACCCATTCTGGTACTTCTGGGTTCGGCGTGGTCTGCAACCCAAAAACTTGCAACCCGCAGCGTTCGTAACCCGAGGTATGACTGTACTTCTGTTGATGCAACCTAGCCTAGCATTAGCTTTTTTTGCTGCTGCATCACACTGATGACTCATATTAAGCTTGTGGTCCACCAAGACCCATAGATCCTTTTCACATGTACTGCTAGCAAGCCAGGTGACCCCCATCTTATATTTGTGCATCTGGTTTTTATTGCCTAAGTGCAGAACCTTTCTTTTGTCCCAATAGTAATTTATTTTGTTAGTTTGCTAAGGTCAACTTGAATCCCGATTCTGTCTTCTACGGCATTAGCTACTATGTTGAGAATCCCTTCACTCAGCTGCCTCCAGCCCCTCTCCATAATTTCCTCTTTCACTCTTCAGCTTAGGGCGGACTCCTCACACACTCTTGATCTTGGCTTCATCAAGAGCTCAGCCATCTGACCTCTAATGCAGAATTTTCTGTCTGGTAAATGCCTCATCTCCTTCCACAAGGAACATCATTCATGTACAGAACATTTCCGCTTCGTGCTCATTCTGTGACCTGCATCCCGTTGATCTAGTGGCATTCTCTGAATCATTACCCCCTCTGCTATCACCTTCTGCCTTTAATTCACATTCAACCCCTTGACATATTTGTCCTCCTATTCCAATGACATACCGGGTATTCATACTCTTATCTCTAGCTATGGCTCAGTCTCTTTACAGAAGACTGAGTATCTCTACTCATGCCCTCTGGAGGAGAAAAAGGCTATGTACACATTACTGGTTTAAAATGCTTCAAGGTCATTCCCCCCTGCTGAATATCAACTCCTTTTTTTACATTGGTGTACACACCAGAGAGGGAGCAGGGGAATTTTCACCCAATGCGCATGAATTACCTGATTTGTTTCCCCACACAGAACTCCCTTCAACGAAGGGGTCATCTGCAAATGTGCAATGGCTGCTTCAAACAGCACAACTGTGGCTTATCTGCGCAAATTGGATGGGAGCTGGTTTGAAGGCAAATGCTCCAAACAACTGCATTTTTCAAGAAACGACAGGGTATATATGAATCGTGGCTAATGTCATGTGTAGTCTGCTTTGCACATCAACAATGGGAACACACCAGAAACAGAGCAAGTGGCTCTGTAATGTGTGTACAAAGCCCCAAAGAGTTGACTGATTTTGTCCGGTATAAAATCATCTCTATGTCTGGCATGTTTATGGCTAAAGAAACACATTGTTTCTTCCTGAACCACATCAAGCCAGGGCATCTTCAGTGTGATGTCCTGCTAAGCCCTGCCCCCTCTCTCCTCTCATCTCTGCTCAAGACTCCTCACTCTTTAAAGGTAAAGGGACCCCTGACCATTAGGTCCAGTCGTGGCCGACTCTGGGGTTGTGGCGCTCATCTCGCTTTATTGGCAGAGGGAGCCGGCGTACAGCTTCCAGGTCATGTGGCCAGCATGACTAAGCCGCTTCTGGAGAACCAGAGCAGCGCACAGAAACGCCATTTACCTTCCTGCCAGAGCAGTACCTATTTATCTACTTGTACTTTGAAGTGCTTTCGAACTGCTGGGTGGGCAGGAGCAGGGACCAAGCAACGGGAGCTCACCCCGTCGCGGGGATTCGAACCGCTGACCTTCTGATCGGCAAGTCCTAGGCTGTGTGGTTTAACCCACAGCGCCACCCACGTCCCCCTCATTCTTTAGTTAGCTTCAATTTAATACTTGCCCTCCTGTCTCTGCTTCTCTCGCTCTCCCTTTATCTCCTTCCCCACCTACTTTCAGATCACTGGGTCCAGCCCTTACATCTGCCCCTCACAGAAGAGGAGATGGGTAACCTGTGGTCTTCCAGATGTTGGACATCAGCCCCAGGCAGCAGAGCCAACGGTCAGGGATGATGGTTGTAGGACAACATCTGAAGGTTCTCCCCGCCTGACCTAGAGTGAAAAGGCAGGTGGACAAAGAAACAAAAGCAGTCCCTGCTTCTTCTTGAGCCACCTCCAAGGTGCCCTCATTTGCCCTGTCCCTGTGGGCCGTAAAGCAGCAAGGGAGAGGGCTAGCAAAGGAGAGAAGTTGCCAGGTGCCCCTTCCATCACTCAGGTGGGCAAACGCCTCCTCCCTGCAAACCTCCTTCCACAAACATGAGCAGAGGAGACGTGAGGAGGAAATGTAAGCCTCAGAAATGAAGGGCATGAGCATGTACAGAGTGCACCTGCTGCCACACCAGTGAGGAGCCTCTGTTTGCATTTAGTAAGGTCATTCCACAACTGGTAGCCTTTGTACAAACAGCTCGTCTTACAATCGCCTCGCCAAGTACAAACTTAGTTGGTCTCTAAGGTGCTACTGGAAGGAATTTTTAAAATTTTGTTTTGACTACGGCAGACCAACACGGCTACCTACCTGTAACTACAAATTCACGTGTATGCCTGTGCACGCGTGCGTGCGTGCGTGACAAATTCCAGAAGGGTCATCCCGTCAGGCTGCGATAGATGGTAACGGATTGCTTTCAAGTCACTTCAGCAGCAGATGAAACAAAAACTCGGCCCCTACCGCCCCGCCCCGTCTTGTATTTTGCCAGACCAAAGGTAGCGACGCTGCCCAGCTCTCACCTGCGTTGCCTGGTCCAGAGGGAGAGAGCGGGGAGATCGGGTGATCCTGGTCCGGGGTTCGAATAGATGGCCTTCTGGTGCCTCCGCGGAAGGAAGCTGGCAGCGCAAAGACGCGCCGAGTGCCGCCGGTCCGACGGAGGAGAGCGGCGGGGAGGAGCAGCGGGAGGAGGAGCCGAAGAAGCGCCGGCGGGGAGCGGGGAGCGAGCCAGCGCCAGACGCGCCCGGAGCCCGCCAGCAGCAACAGGAGGAGCGGAGCGGCCAAGGGGCGAGGCATCCTTGGGAGGCGCGCGAAGGTAGGAGGCGGGCGGCCCGACGGGGCGGCCGGGCGGGCGGAGAGCGAGCCCGGCGGGCGCAGCGAGGGCGCTCGGCCGGGCTGCGATGGCGGGGCCGGAGGACGCGCCCTGGGGCGTCCCCGGCCGCGCGGAGGCGGCGCCGCCCTCCTCCCCGGAGGCGGCGGGCGTCGGGGGCGAGCGGCTGGTGCTGAACGTGTCCGGGCTGCGCTTCGAGACGCTGCCGCGCACGCTGGCCGCCTTCCCGGACACGCTGCTGGGCGACCCCCGGCGCCGCGCGCGCTTCTTCGACCCGCTGCGCAACGAGTACTTCTTCGACCGCAGCCGGAGCAGCTTCGACGCCGTGTTGCACTACTACCAGTCGGGCGGCAGGCTGCGCCGGCCCGCGCACGTGCCCTTGGACCTCTTCGTGGAGGAGCTGCGCTTCTACCAGCTGGGCGAGGAGGCCATCGGCGCCTTCCGCGAGGACGAGGGCTTCATCGCCGAAGACGAGAAGCCGCTGCCCTCGAAGCCCTTCCAGCGCCAGCTGTGGCTCCTCTTCGAGTACCCGGAGAGCTCGGGGCCCGCGCGGGGCATCGCCATCGTCTCCGTGCTGGTCATCCTCATCTCCATCGTCATCTTCTGCCTGGAGACCTTGCCCGAGTTCCGCCTGGAGAGCAAGGGCGGCAGCTACGGAGAGGAGCCCCCCCGGGACCTGCTGCCAGAGGACGACTTGCTTTCCTTGCAGCCCGACGGAGGGACCCCCTCGCCCGTGCGCCCGCCGTCGAGCGCTCGCCCCTTCTTCACCGACCCCTTCTTCCTCATCGAAACGCTCTGCATCATCTGGTTCTCCTTCGAGCTGCTGGTGCGCTTCTTCGCCTGCCCCAGCAAGCCCGAGTTCTCCAGGAACATCATGAACATCATTGACATTGTGGCCATCATCCCCTACTTCATCACGCTGGGGACGGAGCTGGCTCAGGAGCAGCAGAAGAAGGAGCAGCCGCAGGGCAGCAGCAGCAACGGAGGCCAGCAGCAAGCCATGTCCTTGGCCATCCTCAGAGTCATCCGCCTGGTCAGGGTCTTCCGCATCTTCAAGCTCTCCAGGCACTCCAAGGGGCTGCAGATCTTGGGGAAGACCCTGCAAGCCAGCATGAGGGAGCTGGGCCTTCTCATCTTCTTCCTTTTCATCGGCGTGATTCTCTTCTCCAGTGCTGTGTATTTTGCAGAGACCGATGACCCCGAATCTTTGTTCACTAGCATCCCAGATGCTTTCTGGTGGGCAGTAGTGTCAATGACCACGGTGGGCTATGGAGACATGTACCCAATGACCATTGGGGGCAAGATTGTGGGGTCGTTGTGCGCCATTGCCGGCGTGCTGACCATCGCCCTTCCTGTGCCTGTCATTGTCTCCAACTTCAACTATTTCTACCACCGAGAAACTGACCAGGAGGAGCAGTCCCGCTATACTCACGTCACTTGCGGACAGCAACAGTCTCCTTCTTCGGAGCCCAAGAAAGGTGACAGCACCCAGACACTCAGTAAATCAGACTTCCTGGAGGCGGAAGATTTAGAATCTGCAAAATACTCCAACTTTATTCCAGCCAGCAACCACGCCTGTAAAGAGAACAAGTTGTTGACAGAGGTGTGATCACTTCCATCGCCCTCAGTTGAACCTGCTGGCTTCAAGCTGTGTAGACGAAAACTGCAGCTGATCATCTTCGCATTGGAGAAAGAGAGAAGAACGACAACACTCGTTTGTCTGAATGGAAATGATTTGTGCTCCTTGGAATAAAAACTGCTGTGATTTGGACACCGACTCCCTCATTTATGTTGCTTCATTGACTTCTGTAATAAGTTGCTTAATTTCCTTCCCCAATCACAGGGCGTTACCTGTTGTGTATCCGTTATTTATTTATTTTTCTGGGGGTGGAGAAGATTTTCTTCCAGCGGTTGCCTGCGGATGGATCTTATTATCTTATCTACTCACAGAAGCAAAAGCAATATGCCACATCAAGTTTGCAATTAGGCTAGGAATTGCTACGCCCTCGAGTTCCCCTGCCAGCCTTACATTTCTTACAGCCACATCAGCCCTAAGCACTGGCTAATGCCTTTGAGTAACGAAAGCCGACGTCCAGAATTGCAGCCTGCAATTTCACAAATTTCCCTTTGTATTCATGTTGTGTCCTGTTGTGCTTGTTTGTGAATACACACAGCTCTGAGAAGCTAATATATTTGCGATGAAAGTCTATGATCAACCATGCTTGGTCCAAAAATAGGAGGAGCTCATGATATTTTTGCTGATTTCCCTGGAGGTTAATTTTGCAAGCTGCCCTCTCTTGCCTTCCCTTAGGCTGGAGTAGCTGGAATTTTGCTTCCAGGGGCTGCCAACACCATTCAGTCTGCTGGGACAGGCCTGTGAGAAAGAGGGGATGAAAAGGAGCACCGTAGGTCTTGAGTTTAAAACTTTAACAGGTGCACACTGAAAAATATTAGTGCTGCATCTGTTAAAACTTTAAAACCCATTTCATTTCCCCCCAAAAAACATGGTTGGAGACTAGATGATTCTTTTCTTGTAGAAAAGAAAAAAGTAAAGTAATTGGAATGAAATGTACATGGAATTCTCTATGTTAGTGGTTGTATGCAGTATGTTGGAGCAGGAGGAAAAACATAAAGCAAATTGAAAGAAGGCTGGCAGTGGGTTTTCTACACACCATTCAGATGTTCTGACATGTACAAATGAATGCAGTGTGTTTGTGTGAAAGTGATTGCCGTAGCAAGCTCTCCCCCGGACTTAAGCACATTCATTTTAAAGTCTGAAAATGTTCCTGTGTACACAACTGTTCCCAAAGGGAGCTTTCTCTAATTGCCTGGGAATCCTGCTTTTGTGTTGTATTCCTTGGGAAAGGGCCTTATAATGAATGCAAGGAGGCCTGCTGATGTGATGCCCCTCCTTTCGTTCACTGTGCCAAAGTGCTAATAGCCTGTCGGCAAACTGAGTGCTGGCATGCATTATCAGTCTTGCCCTTTCTGACATGCTTCCAGTAGACTGTCTACCTTTAAAAAAACCCCACCATTTTTTTTTAAAGCATCACATGTATCTTTTTGAAAACGCATGTGCCATACATGTATTCCTGAGAGAGCCAAGGGTTTCAGTGCTTCAGTGGAGCATACATTCATGCGCCGAGTGCGCATTCGGGGGGAAGTCCAGGTGGTTTGCTGGCAAACGACCCCAACAAAAACGAGCATATGAGTGAAAGAGGTGAGGGGAAAACACCATAAATAATGCATTGTGTAGTATTCCATTAAGATAAGTAATATGCAAAACAGTTTACATAATTTAACAACGCGAGAGAGGTTTTGCAGCTCATCCCTGAGAGAGGCACTGGAAAAGGTTATTTTGAAAATCTTAGAATTATAGAGTTGGAAGAGATCCCAAGGGTCATCTAGTCCAGCCCCCTTTAATGCAGGAATCTCAGCTAAAGCATCCATGACAAAGATGGTCATCCAACCTCTGCTTAAAAACCTCCAAGGAAGGAGAGTCCACCATCTCCCAAGGGAGTCTGTTCCACTGCCAACCAGCTCTTGCTGTCAGAAAGTTTTTCCAGATGTTTAGCCAGAATCTCCTTTCTTGTAACTTGAAGCCATTGGTTCGAGTCCTACCCTCCAGAGCAGGAGAAAACAAGCTTCCTCCATCTTCCCTGTAGCTATCTGAAGACGGCTATCGCATCTCCTGTGTCTGTTTTTGAGGAAGCTACCCAGAACTGACTGAATGCTGAAAAATTCACGGGTTTGGAAGAAGAATCTACCTCGAGAGATTGAGATAAAGCAGAAAAAACTGAGTAGATTCCTGCCAGTGTTGCTTGAGGTCTAAGGTGGTTTAGCAGAGGACAAGAGCATAAGACAAAATTGAACCCTATACCATCCTATTCTTATTTATAAAAATATGTATATTACCACTATATCATAAAAAATACCAAAGTGGTTTACAACGGTATCTATATCTATAATAAACACGAATGCAAATTTAAAATCAGAGACAAATGTAAAGTTCTATTCTTTAGGAAAAAATAATCAGATGCACACATATAAGGTGGGGGACACCCGGCTTGCCACTCGTACATGTAAAAAGCATTGAGGGGTCTTAGTAGGCAAAAAAACTTCACATGAGTCAACAGTGTGATGCAGCAGCAAAAAGCTAAAGCTAGGCTAGGCTGCAAATCAAAGGAAGTAATAGTTCTACTCTATTCTGGCTTAGCAGATGAGCAATAAGCTCATCTGGAACTTCCGAACCAGGCCCACAGTGAACACATTGCAGTAATCCTTCTTCTGTTTAGGTTTAGGTCTATTTATTAATTGTATTGACAATGAGATAAGAATATAGATTTAAAGTATGGATTGTGGACCAAACTATTTTTATTATTATCAAGACAGGAGTCCCTCTTTTTCTGTGTCTCTTTCTGTGAGTATGTGTGAGTGAGTTGCAGCCCCTCTGAGGCTGCAGTTCTGTTCAAGAGATGAAAATGTCACAGCTCTAGTTACCTCCGGGAGAACTTCCTGTTCTGTAAGTGAATATTTTTAAAAAATATATTTTGAAATATTTTTAGGAAAATCAGTTTTGAGACGGGAGCGATGGGTGTAGCGGGGGTGCCGTCTAGGAGTGGTTTTTTTTTTAAATGATATTTATTCCAAATTTAAAGTTACAGAAAAAAGAAGAAAAACCATACAAAATACAAAGAAAGTTTTAACCATAACAAAGCAAAACGAATAAAGAGAACAATAAAATAGAGTAAAAAAGAAAACTTAACAAAAAATATAAAAATACATTAAGTTAAAATAAAACAAAAGCAGATTAAACCTTTACATAACCTTTTCCCTTTACTTATTTCCATGACCTCCTCTCACCTCCCAATTTTGTATTCTAGTTCAAATCGTGTTTCCAGCAAATCCTTCTAACCTTATTTTCATTTACTTATTTTAAAATTAAAATAATGTGATTAAACCTCCTCTAATTCATCGATTTCATCAACTCATTTTTGCTTAGTCCATTATATCATATCTACCAGAACGACCTAATATTCCTTTTCCAACCTCCTTCTAACATTCTTTTATATTGCAGTACTTTTGAAGATATATTTTGAATTTTTTCCAATCTTCTTCCATTGACCCTTCTCCCTGGTCTCGAATTCTGCCGGTCATCTCAGCCAGTTCCATATAGTCGATCACTTTCATCTGCCACGTCTAGGAGTGGTTTTTTTGGGGGGCAAAGGCCCTTCAAAATTTCAAAGGAGGGGGCCGAGGCCCTCAAAAACTCAGTGGTGGTTGTGTGTTCACACGGTGTGACATGCTCACCTCACTCACTTTGCGCTGCATGCATGCATGTCATGAGCATGTTGTGTGGCGTGTGCACATGACCTCAGCATGTCGTGTGACATGTGAACACTATATGGCCCCCCTTAATCATGGGGCCAAGCCAGTGAACTTGGAGTGTAGAAGTATCTGAGGTGGGAGTGTTTAACCCTCTCTCCACCACCTGCCACCACACTATTTTGTTATCGATCATGATTTGTTGTTGTTTAGTTGTTTAGTCGTGTCCGACTCTTCGTGACCCCCTGGACCAGAGCACACCAGGCACTCCTGTCTTCCACTGCCTCCCGCAGTTTGGTCAAACTCATGCTGGTAGCTTTGAGAACACTATCCAACCATCTCGTCCTCTGTCGTCCCCTTCTCCTTGTGCCTTCCATCTTTCCCAACATCAGGGTCTTTTCCAGGGAGTCTTCTCTTCTCATGAGGTGGCCAAAGTACTGGAGCCTCAGCTTCAGGATCTGTCCTTCCAGTGAGCACTCAGGGCTGATTTCCTTAAGAATGGATGGGTTTGATCTTCTTGCAGTCCATGGGACTCTCAAGAGTCTCCTTCAGCACCAGAATTCAAAAGCATCAATTCTTTGGCGATCAGCCTTCTTTATGGTCCAGCTCTCACTTCCATACATCACTACTGGATGGATCATGATACTAGTCCACATTTCCATGGGCACGTTGTTTTTGGATCTTGTTGTCCTTGCAGTGGCACAGCACGCAGATGATGGAAAACAAGGAACTCTGCCAGAAAAAATCCCAGGAATTTTGGAAGAAGTCTTCTAGGTGATTTTTATAAGAGTGTCAGGGTTATTAAGGGGAAACAGAGGCCTAACAAAATGTAATCTTGCTTTCATTGAAGCCAGATAGGAACGTGATGGATCTAGTTTGCAACCTTGTGTGTTTGTACCTTTGGATCAAACTAGACATTCTGCTTCAAATAGGAACTGTCTGCCTGGCTCTTTCTTTTTAATTTCTGGAAATTGTACCCCCTCCCGCACCCCAACATCAACAACCAATGGCTGAGAAATATTCCTTAGGAATATTCCAGGTATCTTAATT